CTGCATAACTCAATATGTGCACACAGAACTGCAAGGAACTGGTTCATGTAATTTTATTAGAAAGTTGATGTATTTGTGGGAAACATTCGTATGGTACTTTAAAATGAAGGGACAAAACATAGTGTGCTTTCGAGTTACGTCAAGGGTATATGAGATTTTATGTATCAAACCAAGAGGATAAAGATAGAGAAAGCTGTGCAAGAATTAATTTCCCTGTGTGAGACAGCTATTTATATTTTATATATAAAGAACATGATTTACATACAGTCGTATTAAATATTTTTCTCAGTATTAATGTAAGATGCGTAAAACGAAAAAAAAAACAATTTTTTGGGTTTTTTTTTTTCCTTGACGGTAAAGACTAAGGTTTTAATATGTGTAATATGTCTCTCAAATTGTCTGCAGACCCCCAAGCACCCTCTTCCATAGGCATCTAATTTTAAAACTCTTCATGTAGATAATATTTACATGACTAAGACATAAATGAAGTATATTCAGTGAACACATAATTTTGTAAGAGCACATCTGCCAGGAAAATAAATGCAAATGTGAGATTTGGCGGATTGAAAACAGAAAAAAAACAGGGTTTGCATGGAAAAACACAGTTCCTTTGACCTTTCTAGTTCACTTTTAATGAGTAACCAGATGTTATTGTGGTGACATTAATTTAATTTGTTCCAAAATAAATCCTATATCTTATCGAAATCACTATAATGAAATTACATGCATGGTAAATTATCTAGGCCGTATATCATTGCTATTTTAAGTTTAAGAAACAGCAGTTACAACTTAATATTGCAAAAAACAGCAGTGAACATGGAAAATATATGCACAAGCCTAAATGTGTTTCTTTCAAAGGTCTCATGACACTATAAAGTTTCAGAAAAAAAGGAATGTCATGAGTATCTAAACCTCTCCTAACTTAATTTGCATTGACTCCAGATGGTCCCAGAGGTCAATGGGGAAAACTACAACTATAATGATGTTATCCTGTGTACGTAAAATGTACCAAAGTCTAAGCTAATTGCAGCTTGCTGTCTTAAGTCGTAAGCTGTGGAATTTTGCAGCCACCAGTGGTCTCTTACACAGAGCCTCTACAGGGGGTCCATTTCATCCATCAGAGACCACTTGTATGTGCTGCCTCTGATGAGTAGCAACATTATGTTCCAAAATAAAAGATAATACGGTTGCTGCAAACCTCAGTTGCCCCAACAGCAGATCACAGATGGTGATTCAGAACACATATTGCATAATGCGAGTTAAAAATATCAGTTATTATCATGAATTAAGTCATAAAAAGTGAATTTTCACAAAAATAGACCGCAAAATTGGATAAAAAGATTTTCATGCCATGTATAAATAATTCAAATGGAAATAGACAAAGTTTGCACTGTTTATACGCATGGTGGTTGGACTTCTGAATTGATTACTTTCAGGTGGTTTTAGATGGCATTTTAGATGTATGCTGCATAATAACCTTAAAAATATTTAAAAGGAACTTCCTAAGATACATGTGACATTCCTTAGCATAAAAGAGTGACATAACATAGAAAAGTAGCTACATAAATGGACAAAATAATGTGTGTGGTCCTTTTCCCTTTTTCCTCCTTTACTTTATGTTGATGTGTCCTTGTTACAGTGTAATTACCCAAATAAGTACGGAGTAGCATTAATTAACAGATTCAAGGTTAAGTTTGGTTTGGTGGTAGTCGCTAGTATTTATTTATTGTTATTATTACAGTATAGTAAATACATGTAATGTGTAACAAGAACCATACACTCTTAAATATAAAGATTCCAAAATTGGGTTTACGTAGCAATGCAATAGTAGATCCATTTTTGGTTCCTTAAAGTACATTTCAGTGAAAGTTAACCTTAACCGTTTTTCTTAGTGTGAAGAATATTTTAATATTCTAAAAAAATTCCACTATAAAAACCTTTTGTGAAATGGAAATGTCACAGTTGCCTTCTGTGGCAAAACGAAGAACACGGAGACGAGGATGAACTCAAAATAAACAGTCTTTAATCCACAATCCAAAAGGGGTAACACAAGGCAGACAGAGACACACAAGAACCACTACATCGACGTTAATACCAGACCCTAGATACAGGAAAACACAGGGCTTAAATGCTCAAACTAAACGAGATAATTAACAAACACAGGTGGATACTAATGAACTAATAATGAAACAATGAGGACAGGAACAGAAGCATAACCAAATAAGGGCATAAGGAAACACGAGGGTGAACTAAGACATGGGCAGCACATAGACAGAACACAACAACAAAACGGGAACATAAGTCTGACAGGAAAGTTTCCACGGATGTTAAAGGTTCTTTAAGGAACCATAGATGCCAATACTTTTAAGAGTGTATAGACAAGATTAATGTTCTCAAAAGAGCTCATCTTGTATTGGGAACCAGGGTTAACCCTTGTATTATATGCTCCGGGTCAGTTTGACCCATTTTGATTTTCGAGCTGTCGGAAATACCAGTTAATCTGTGACTTTATTCTTGATATTTTGTGACTTTTTCTCATTTAGGGCCATGAACATGCATGCAAAGTGAGGATACACTGATGCGTTTTGAAGTGCGCACAAATAATTTTCTGACGATTTTGATGTTTGGCGGTCAATTTGACCCACATTTTTTTTTTTCAAGGCAACTTTACAGACCCAAATTAAATATATTTCTTGGGTATATGTTGTTATGTTGGTGTTTTGCTGTCCTGGAAAGGGAAAAAATTTGCCTTTTCTCATTTTCAGTGCTGAAAAAGACTTTTGCAGACTCAGATGGTAAAAGTGAGCTATCATTTCTATTTTCAGTGTATATGAAATACTATTTAACTTATCTTTTTCTTCCAGAAATTGTGTAACTTCTTCTCATTTAGGGCCATGAACATGTCTAAATAAGTTGTGTTCCAAATTTGAAGTTGATATAAAAAAAATTGAGGTTCCTATGCAATTTTGTTTAGGTGTTATACCAAAACTAGCCACTGGGTGCCATTCAAACTCCATTGATTCTTTTTTGATGCAATTTTTCTGTCACAAATGTATAAATATTTCTCTCAATTTTACTTCTATCACAAAATAACAACCAAATATGGAATCTTGAGACTCAGACCTTTCTACAGATATGTATTTTGTCAAGATTATAAAAAGTTTTGATTCTAAAAGACCATAATACATTTTGTAAAATGACACCCCCCACTAAGGGGGAGGAGCCCAATAAAAGATTTTAAAGTACCATTTCCATGGTAACGCAATGTCCAATTTCAAAATGGTTTTCACTGGATGGATTTTGATCAGAACTCCTATTATGATGTAGTATATGTTTTGAGGTGCACTCTTGTCATAAATTAATCTATTACTGTTCCTACATAATTTGTAACAAAAACAGTGATAAAATATCTATTTAGGAGTCCTTAGACCTTTCCAACGATATATAGTTTGTCGTGATTAGATTAGGATTTAACTGTAATATAGTAGTATAGAATATAGTAATATAGAAGTAAACTTCTACAAGCGGGACGGTAACAGTTAAGGGGTTAAAAAATGTGGTTAAACACATTTTTAAAAATCATACTTGTTGAGATTAATTGTTTGCACTGTGTGACAAATACTGATATTCATTTTTTTCTGTTCATGCCTGATTCCTTCTTGTTTTTATTAATGTGATATTTTGGGAATTGCATTGAAGGCAATTAGAGGCAATTTGACCCGCTCCATCAAAATCGTACCCAGAAATCGAACATAATACAAGGGTTAAACAATACTCATACACACTGAACTGATCTATATCTAAGGCCAGGTGCATTGTATGGAGATGTGTTATAGCCCAAATAACACTGTACTATAAAAGGACATCATATCTTGACATTAACACATCTTTTTTAGCCATGTACGCTGTTGTTTGACTGGTCAGATCTGGAAATGCTGGTTGATTTACAGCCAGTGTGATGGCCCAGGAGGATCACTGCTGACCTTATAGAGCTTGAGCTGTACCACTCATTCTGTAATCTAGACAGTTGCTGGATTTATCCAAGGCCTTATCACTGGGCAGAGAACCTGGCACGGCAGCATCGAGGTGTGTGGCACTGCCAGCCCTGCGTACGTGTGATAATCAGCCTGGCCTGTGCACTTATGGTGGCATCCATGGTTCTGTCTTCACATTCTCGTGTTGTATTGATGGTATGAACTATCAGCACCTTGAAGCCCAAGAAGTCGGGTTTCCCTCTGGTCCACAATTGGGACAATCAGCAAGAAATGCTTAAACGGTTAGTTTATCACTGAAATTAGTATCTCTCTGATTGCTTTGAGATACTGAGACTTTATTTAGCCAGTGTATCTGACATTGTCTTGCTTTCAAGTTTAAATCAGATTGAAATATGCATCAAGACATTGTAATGCTCTTTGGATGACTTTAATTTTCCACTGCAAAACCACTTCTGTATTTGAATTGTTTTGCAAAGTTTGCAAAATTTGCGCTGTCAAAATAACTGTCAGCTGCTTGTTTTGTTAGTGGTGCCTTTTATTAGACATAGATGGCATAATATCATTTAGACTGTCAGTTTTGTTGCACATAAAGTGTACATGAAGGAAATGCAACCACACACACACACACACACACAAAATCATTAGCAATATAGAATGGTCAATGCTTTTGTGTAGCCTAATTATAAACTGCATCCCCTGGAAATAATAGTCACAGCCAGGGATAAATGATGCCTCCATTTGTAATCTGATCATGGGAATTCAAATGTTAACTGATGACTGGCATAACATTTCGGTTCTTTAGCCATACGGAAATCTTAGTACCCATGGGAGTGACAGATGAGAATAGGCAAAGTTTGGAGCAAACAGGTGTTGGGACTTACCATCTCATTGTAAACCATCAGCCGCAGTGACGAAAGCCTTCCAGAGTTTCCTTCTGTTCCTCCACTCTGTCACTAAGCAGCTGTACAGTATCACACACAGGCCTCTGCTCATACTGTGGCCAGAGGGATGGGGACGAGCCAGGGTGGGGCAGGGAAATCCAAAGGACATGATGGAAAGCCAAATCCTACAAAAGGTACTGTTTTCTTTGGAAATACTCAGGCAAAAGTTAAATATAGCATTCTGTGGGTATTCTATAAGAAATAAATGCATTCTTGTAGCTCCAATAGTAAAGCATGGCACCAACAATAATTCAATTTCTAGGGTATGAATGAAGTGAATGGTTAAAACTTCTTCTGAAGTGGTTCTCATACTTTTAAGACTACCTAATCACCATCTTACAAAAGCCATAGAAAGTCCAATGATGGCATGACCTTGAGACATATCGACACATAACGCAAGAACTTGGTTCAACGCAAACAGTGTTTGGAAAGAGAAAAAAAACAACAACTTCTAACCCAAATTCAAACAGTACAGAAATCAAAATAGCATTATTTATTTTATTTGCGTGCAAATTTAATGTCTTGCATGTGGAATGAAATGCATGATTGTCAGAACTTCAACACAGTGGGTTTAATATTAGGTGGGGAAAATTCAGAACATGCGGATTTCCTGTTTGATCACTTTGAACTTTGCAGCGTATACAGTAATGAATAGATCAGCAATGCTGATCATCAGTTGTGTTTTGGATGGGATGCTAGTGTGTTGGCATCACAACAGGCTTTAGAACTAGAAGACTTCCTTCATCACCCAGCATGGTATTTTGGGTAGAACTTATTTTGTTCACAAAAGAAGTCTTGTTGGTTAAGGTTCTGGTGTAAGATGGTCTTTACAGTTTAAAAGACAACTTTAGAATGAGAATGTGAGTGCCCTGAATGCTGTAATGATTAGATTCACATCAGTTCGAGAAAATACATGCATGGCTCCACTATGGATTGAGTGGAGATAAATGTTTACTGTTACATATGTATTATGTACTGTTACATATGTATGTGTGCACTGTGAAGTACTGGCTTAGAAGTTCAAGTTCCTATGTATTTATAGTTCCTGATAAACTGTCCAACCCATTTCAATCACCCCATTGCCCCTTCCAAAGGGGGAGTAATCCAATAAAGAGGAGCACAGGAGTCGCTCCTCCATCTCTCTTTCAAGAACCAAAGACACACACAGCACATCACAGGACAGGCAGGTCAGTCTTCTCTTCTCTTCTCTTCTCTTCTCTTATCTTCTCTTCTCTTCTCTTCTCTTCTCTTCTCTTCTCTTCTCTTCTCTTCTCTTCTCTTCTCTTCTCTTCTCTTCTCTTCTCTTCTCTTCTCTTCTCTTCTCTTCAGATTTGACCTATCACCTTTTTTCCCCACTAATACCACCCGCTTTAGCCTGTTGCTTTATATTAGCATCTAGAAAGCTGCACTGAAGCTCAAATCTGCAACTTATCTATCTGCATTACAATTTCAGATTCTTTTTTCAAAAAAGCATCTGCCCATAATATCATTTTCATTCTATATGTTGTATATATTCACGAATTGAATTAAATCTTTGGTGTCTTTATTGTTTTATTCTTTCAAATAATCTATTCTGAAGAATTCTATTCTGTGTTGTCTATTCAGAAGAATTTGAAATGATGTTCTGACTATCCGTGCACAGATGGTTTACTTTCAGGCATTGTTATTCCAATGCTTGTGAGTCAAATACTTTTCTCTGCACCATATTTTAATAGCTTTAGTGGTAATTTATTGCATTACAACACATTAGAGATAGAAAAAGTCCATCAGACTAAGGATTTGTTGTTGAAAGTATAAAAAAACGGACATGATTGAAAATTATTACTGAGGCATATATGAGCATTTTGTTTGTATTTTTAAACAAATGTGGTCTCCATCCTCTAGGTTTGAGATTTATACTACAAGCAGTGTTTTAGTACTGGTATGAAAAGTTTAGTTGTCTTTTTTTTTGGGTTACTAGTTGGTATGGGGATAAATACATGTGTCAGGCATCTCCACAGCCACCTGTCATTCCTTTATCCAGTTATGGCTGAAAGGTTCCACATGCAGAGGCCTTGCTGTAGTCTTTAATTGGCTGCACATTTCACTTTATCACTCTTGGTTTAATTGGAAATGAATGGGTTGGTTTGGGGCTTCATTAAGGTTCAAAAGTAATTCACATGACTCAAAAGATTCTCCAGCTAAGCCCCTGCTTGTGTCAGTCTTATTTAATCCCTCTATGTGTATATCTGTCTGTTTGAGACTATGAGGAGAATGAGGAAGATATGTCTCTTTACTGATAGTCAGGGACACACTAGGGACATCTGGAACCACTGAGACTTGTCTTGATCTGGTGCCCAGTGTTGGTGCCAGCCAGCTAGGTTGAGGACACATCAGAGAATGCATTCAGATACAACAGTGTGATCTGACAAATGTTCACAGTGCAGATTTAGCTGACTCCATTACTTTTCCGTGGGAGACATGCAGTACATAAAGGAGTCTATTAAGTTATTATGAAGGTCACAATGACCTCAAAACACTTTTACCATAGTGCATGATTTGTAAAATAACATTAATCAGGTTTACATCACATAACTAGCTGTATGGACCACATTTCTGACATTGTAAACTTGCTCTGTAGCTCACCTGGTAGGCCTACATTTTGCACTTGCGATGTGAAACACTAATCACAACACTTGATGACAGAGCTCAAAGACTTGTAGAAGCAAGCTAAAATGGTAAATGTGTTTTTAGCTTGTTTGATTTAGTTAACATCATTGCTTAGGTTTAGAGTAGACTTTGGTATAGGTAGTATGCGAGCCACTCACTGGACATTTCATTTCCAAACTGCCGCGATTTGTACAATAAACAGCATAATAAAACGTTTATACCAAATATGTACTTGGGAAACTAAGGATTTTTCAAACTTTTGAAAAATGTAGTCTTAAAGTTAAGGCAATAGCGGTTGAACATGGAATAGTTAAGAAACTTGTCATTCACTTTACCAAGTTTACTGAAGTGACTGAAGATTGGAGACTTTTATTGTGTTTGACTGAGATTCAGTGAGAAAATAAGCCACAAGTTTGGTGTAGAGCTCAGAGTGGGTAAGCATTGTGTTCACAAAAGCCAGTCTGGACACAGTTCTGAGGGATAACGCAGGAATATTAGCAGGGCTTTACTGAGGGAGACACAACAGCTGGGACTAATACATTGGCACGCCTTCCGCTCTTTCTTTAGAAAGTTTGCGTCATATAGTTAGCCTTTATCTAGCAGATGTTAAGCACTGGTATTATAGGCCTACAAGTTAAGTTTCATGCTTAACGATACCATTTTCAATGACCTCCTCAACCTGTCCACACCATTTAAAACACGTTTATCTTTTAGGAATTGTTTGAATCCAAGATGGCAGAACGTTATGACTGCCACTACTGCAAGGAGTCTTTGTTTGGGAAGAAGTATGTTCTGCATGATGAAAATCCATACTGTGTGAAGTGCTATGAGAGCCTCTACTCCAACACCTGTGAGGAGTGCAAGAAACCCATTGGCTGCAACAGCAGAGTATGTTAATCTTCACATTTTCTATGTTCACATACAGTACATACAGAAATGTTTCAAATACAAAACAGCTGGAGCTGCTCTTGAAGTACATTTTATAATACTTTTAGTATTCAAAGATAAAGTTACAATTCGGAACAATTAAAATAATTGAATAACACATTAGTTAAAATTATTATCGAGGGCTTTACATGTGCATTAGTACGTTAGTTAACATCAAAATAAGTGTACTTTAATACATAAAGATTATTCAAATTGATTTAAAATGTACTTTAAATAAAACTTTTGAAAGTGCACTTTTTAAAAGTACACTTAAGTGTCAAAACAGTGATGAAAGTCTACTCTCTTTAAATCAAGTAGCATTTTAATCCATTAATATTATATTATAAGCAAGTACAGTTTTTCTTAAATATACTTTTTAAGATTGTGTGTGCTCCAACTTAAATAGCAGAAATTATTCAGAAATATGCACTTTTCCATTACATCCATGTAGAATGATAGTTCTAGCAGACTGTGCACCATATTGCTCAGAACTCAGTACCTAGAGCGAGAGGTCTGAGCGCAGAATATTTGACCGTTTTTATTTAGTAACAGTGATTTGGAGCTTTGTGTGACTGAGCTCTGAAAGCTGAGAGATCACCAGGAGAGCGGTGGGGAGTCGTGGAGAATGAATGCCAGCTCATGCACTCGGGACTGAAGCCAGCAGGAAGTCAGTGTTGGAGAGTGAGTCCAGAACCAAATAAAGAGACCAGATTTACCTTGGTGATGGAAACAGAGACATCCATTGCCATTTCAAAGACAAATTTAAACTTTTTATCAGCTTTAATTAATATTACCATTTCAGATAAAATAATTTCAATATATTTTTTTCAATAAGATTTAGCTGTTATAGCTGTTCTATATTAAAGGCAGGGTATTGTAAAGGCAAGCATCACTATTACTATTGAACTGTGTGTTAGGGATAGGAACAAACTCTGAAACCTAATAAGTTAAAGAGATAGATTATCCAAAAATGAAAATTCTGACATCATTTACTCATCCTTCTCTGTTTCAAAGCATTCAATAAGACTTACTCTCGTCTCTGGGAACACAAATTAAGATATTTTTAAATTTAATTTTGAAATCACACTGAAAGTCCATGCAACCAAAATTGTCACGCTGTAAAAGATACAAAAAGACATGTGTATTTAATATTTATATGTGAATAAAAGCCTGAATTAAAGTTAATTAACTGCTTGATTCATACACTATCAGAAAAAAGGTACAAAAATTGTCACTGGTGTGGTGTACCATTATGTACCATTTAGGTATAAATGTGCACCTTTAGAGGTAAATAAGGTACATAGGTGTACTTTTAAAAAGGTACCGTCCCAGTGACAGCTTTTGTACCTTTTTTTCGGAGGGTGTTACAATGTCTTTTTGTACTTTTTGAAGCGTTAACATTTTGGTTGCGTAGACTTTCAATGGATGAACACAAATGATATGAGTGTGTGGTAGTCTATGGGTTTTGGAGCAACAGGAAACTCATGAAGGTGAGGAAATAATGGCAAAATTGTCATTTTGGGCTAAACTATCATTTAAACTCTATGCAATGGACCTGTGCTATAGAGATGAATCATGCCACAAGTTGTGCAGCTTGTTGAGAAGAATTTCTGATTTTTTTTTCATTGAAGATGATACAACGGGTGAAAAACCCCACCTACTTGCATTAAATGAGGGGGATCAAAATAAGAAACATCCTAGCAACATCATAGCACAGTGCTAAAAGCCACTCAGAACACTTTAGCCACAGCATAGCAATGCCCTAAAGAAAAGAAAATTACATATATTACAGTGTATTATAGTAAATGTTACAGATAATATATAAGGACCATTATGGTATACTTTAGAAGTACATTCCCATCCCTTATATTGCTTTAGACATGTGGTGCTCTTCTCTCTACAGGCTTCTGTGACTTTCTGTCATTAGCGTCACATTACATGGTCATTAGTCCTGATGAGGAGGCTGTCACCGGTCTGGAGGACAGGCCTGGGGTGGAGCCACATCTGTGTGGCCTGTCCTTGGCCCAGTTAGCCGCTGCTCCCCCCCCTAGTCGCAGGCAATCAGAATGACCTCATAGCACCTTGGGCCAGCGATTTAACAATCTCTCGCTCCAAATTGGTGGATAATTAAACCACTTGTGTCATACACTCATCCTGAGGCGGTGTGTGTTCACAGCCCGGGACAGACTCTCACTAACGTACTCCTATTGGCAGGTCACACTGCGACTGATCGCAGACACCAGCACCTGTGGCTGTCATTGGCGAAAGACCTGCTGTGAAGCTGACATTGAGGAACACTTTACCCTCCCGCTCTCCCTAATTAGCTGTTCAAAGGCTGAAAAAGAGCACTGAGGCCAAGCACAGTCACCCTTAAACCCAAGTTTAATGCATGTGAGACAATGCAGGTCCAATTTGTCCTTACCTGTATGCTTTTGTCTTCAGGATCTGTCTTTTAAGGACCGCCACTGGCATGATGACTGCTTCCACTGCTTCAAATGTCACCGTTCTTTGGTGGACAAGCCGTTCTCCACCAAGGACGAGCAGCTACTTTGTACTGAGTGTTACTCTAATGAGTATTCCTCTAAATGTTTTGAGTGCAAGAAGACAATCATGCCAGGTAAGTGAAACATTTGCTTGAACTGTTCATTACACATGTACTTCCTAAATGATACATTCGTCACAATGAGACATATTGTGTTGAACAGCAGCTAATGACATAATAGCAATAATCAAAAATTTCTTTACTATGGGAGTGCTGAGAAATTTAATGGATCAATTTCAAGGGATAGTAGGCTACTACACCAAAAAAGGAAGCCATTTATTCACTTATGTCATCAGTTTTTCTCCCTTATGTCATTCCAGACCCATAAGACTTTTATTCATCTTCCACCAAAGTTCCACCAAAACTCTAACACTTCAAAAAATTCATATACAGTGTAAAAGTAATCCATATGAACTGAATAGTTTAATCCAAATCTTCTGAAGAGATTTCACTTTGTATGATGAACAGATTTAATATTGGCTTTTATTCACTTTAACAGTCAACATACACTCTAAAAAATGCTGGGTTAAATACAACCCAGTGCTGGGTAAAATAGGGACAAACCCAGCAATTGGGCTG